GGGGACCCCACACCCGCCGAGACTGATGGTTCGGAGGAAAAGGGGACGGAGGGACGGAGCACGGAGCACGGACGGACATCGGATGATAACAGATTTTAACCCACATTCCGGCATCTTCGTCCATCAGTCAGTCACAGTAGGTTCAAACTTCAACCCCATTGCAGGTCCCTACGATCGACAATCTCATATACTTCCCGTCTTTACATGAAAAAGCAAGTAATTCACAACAGGCATTCCCGTCAACTTGTCAAGGGTTCTCGCCCTGCTGCGGTTAGGCTTGCGAAAACGGTTTATTTTCAGCTACGTTCGTTCGATTCCTTTTTTCCCCTTAAATGCCAAAGAAAAAAGAAGTTTTGGCCAATTACAGGAATAGCAACGTCGGAAGAGAGTTCGAGGACTTGAGGAAAAAAAAACGAAAGGGAATGAAATGGCGGGGTGAAAGGTGATGCGGTAAAATGGGTCGGGTGCCCTGAATTCCGTGGATGTTCTGTACCTGACTCCCCGCGAGCTGTAATCGAAAGCAGTTGAAAGAGGTGTTTTTCCCAAATACCCGAACGCCGAACGGGGGGAACGACATACCCGTCGAGAATTACGTCTACAGATGAGCTGCGAATGAAGAACTTAGCTTGCTGTGAAGTTCCCGTCGTGAGCCTTCTCGTAGCATACACCCTCCACATCAGGTCTCATACGTCGCAGCTGTCTGTGGCAGACGTCCTCATCACATCCTCAGTGGCATTCAAGTTGACGATGCCATCAACACTCACTGAAAAAAGTCGTGTATCTACCACTCTACATATCTCTCGTTACACAAACCACCTAGGTAGCCTCTAAGGAAGAAAAGGGGCGGCTTACGTACTCCAGGCAAGGTCCTAAATGTGCAGCGTACAGTGTGCAGCGTGGGTGGTGATGCAGCGCAGCGCAGCGCGTTGCAGTAGCGTGTACTTGTAGCGTCCGTCAGTCGAGCGAGCTTGCCCCTGTGTAACGTTGAATCGCTTCCACTGGGCTGCTTTTTTGAGTCGCCCCGCCCGCTTGTAGGTATCACGGCGGCACGGCAACTGCAGTTGACAGCGCTAAGTGGAAGCTGGAAGCTCCGATGCAACTTGGACGGGAGCGCACTACACGAAAGCTTTACTGGTGCCGGGCGAATGGTGATGGATTTGAGATACAATGGTGTAGTGTTTGAATTTTTAGTGTTTTAAAATTTCGTAGCGGAGGTTGTTGATGTGGTGAAACGGATGCCGGATGGAATGGAATTGGGGATTGTCGTTCCCGTTTGGGAAATCTGGAGAAGAGTTGGAGGGTTGTGATTGGTTGACACCTGTGTTGTTGTTCGGGATGTTGATTTTGGGTTTGAAGGATCAACGCTTGTCGATGGGTACCTTGCCTACCACGCCTACTTACATATCATGAACTTTATTCAAGGAAGATCCAGTGTCAAACTTGAAAGATCAAGTAAAGAATAGGGGATGTTGCTGAACGAGATGATGGGGACGTACAAGCGAAGTAGTGCCCGTGGTTTTGGGGGGGGCTTTAAAATTACATCGCACCGCGGCGAAGTCGGGTTGTTTGCTTGGTTCGCAGCTTTTTCCGTCTCGACTTAAACTTCAAAAATGCACTACATGTTTAAGCAACGGGTGATTCGACACATAACTCCTCTAGCACCAAGGAGCTACCTATACCAGCTGATCATCATTCAGTAGTAGGGCGTATCAGATAGATTAGAAACCTGGAAAACCGTTGAACACCCCCCTCCTCCTCATCTTCCATTCTAGGTTCCCCAAACAAACTTTTCCCCTCATTGCTGTGCTATCAAATCTGCCGTTGGATTTGTTTCAAGCCAGCCAACCAGCCAGCCAGCTACGTTTGTTAGCTTTGTTTGCTTTGCGAGCCGCTTTTCATCGTCAGGGGCGGCAGATCTAGATGCAGCACAATGCCTTCACCTGATCTCGCCCTACTTCCTGGAGACGGCCTATCGGCTCCTGAGATTGGGTGCGCGGTGATTGCCATCGGAAGTTTTTGGCTTTAAGTAGTTGACGGAGTCCAATGGGAAATATTTACACTTTGTGCCACTTTTTCTACCACCCTTTTTCGCTAATGTAGTTTGTGAACTCTGAGGTGCAAACACATGGCTGGATTACCACTTCCCCCACCACGTATTACGTCCTTGCGTCTGATAGTCTTCGGTCCGTTCTTGAGGTGTCCCTTGCTGCTTCATCGAGACGGCCACGGCTAAGGTAGGTAATGCAGCTGATGTTTTCAGGGTCTTACGGTGTGTTTACGTGACAGAAACCGTCACGTCATCCAGTTGTATGTACAACCTAACCCTGGTTTGTCTGTTAGTCTGGTACAAAAAAACGCCCATTTCCACTCTCGAGCAACTGAAGTGGAAAAGCATTCGGGTTTTGAGCGGACGGATGCCGTAGAGGGGACTGCTTTTTATATCCTTCAGTCTTGAGGGCCTTAAATGAAGACGGAGAAAGGCATAAGAGGCTTCTGTGGCGTTTTTAACCCTTGCCATTGTCCCATGATACTGCAAACGGAGGCCAGTTTCTCTTCTCAAAGGCCAATGAAAGCTTTAGATCTCCCCTGCTCAACCCTTGCCCGAAGAACCAAACTAACAAACAAACCAGTATTGAATTGTATGTATGTGGCGACTGCAGTGTCCTAGCATGCGTATGCGTGCCTAGGTAAGCTTTTTTCAGGGTCCATTCCCTTACTTGTTGAAGGGACTGACTGCATGGAACATGCCGTGATGCGATGGAAAAGATAGATCGGTTCCGACTCCGAACCCCGAGTTCCGTCCCGTTTGTTTCGTCCCGCCTTCCAGCAGACCCTGTACCGGGCTACCTAGCTTAGGTCCGCTACAGGGACCCCGCGCGCGGCGACCGTTGAAGAGAGCCCCAGGCATACTGGGGAATCTATCAGTGGAGTAAGCCCGCGTATGATGACCCTTATTTCTCTGGGCCGGAGACTTTTGAATGAGCCAGGGCACTACCTCTACCTTAATCCATGCAGTACTTATATGTATGGAATATTCTGCCATGGTTTTTAAACCCTGAGAAAGTAGAAACAGGAATGTTTGAAGAGACACTCGATCGTTCGGGGCCTAAACTTTCGCCAGTATGTAAGCATGTACTCGGACTCACAACCATTCGTGGTACCTGAGACTTATCTCCGATCCGAGGTCGAGACGTACCGTACCGTGAGCTTTCTTTCCCATCGCATGTACACAATTTAGGTAAGCTTGATAGAGAAGTGACAGGCGTGCGTTCAAATGCGGCCAGGCAGCTATCCAACGGTCAGGCGGGTCAGGGTACCCTTTGGACATTCGGCCAAATATATGGCCCCATTTCCACCCACAGCCAATGATGTAAACCTTCTTTTTTGCATCATAATCTTACAGTACCTCCTTCTTAAAACCAGACAAAAATTGTTCGTAGCGCGCCGAAAATGGCAGGCCGGCTTTTTTTCACTACAATATTGGCATTCCCTCGTTCAGCAGTTCAGGGGATCATATGCCATCGCGAATGTCGCGTGTGCCCCATATGGCAAACCCCACAATCCTTAGGCAGCAAAGTAGCATTCCCTGAATGCTTAAAGGATGGCGCGATTCGGCCTTTGCGTACATAGGTACTTGAGAACTACACGAGTTCGATGATTTGTATAATTCACATGAGTTAGTATTATTTGTAAAGGTGGGTCAAAAATAATATCGTGAGAAGAGCGCCACAAGCCATAACCTGTCTTCGAGGATGATCTGTCAGAAGCGGTTCCGAATCGGCTGCGGCGATCTTGAAGAAGCGCATTCCACGTATTCTTGTAAGAGTGGTTACGTTTCTCTCCAGGTCCAAAAGAAGAAGCTTTTGATGTCCGATTGAGATGCCGACCCGATAGAGTGACAGACACCGTGACGTGACATGCTAGAGGAGTGCCCATCATCCACCATGACTAACCAAGAATACATCTCACTTTCCATTTGGGGATTATTCTCTCTGCGCCATTGACCATTTTCGTCCTTTTTTTCTTTTCTGCAGATTCCTGTTTACTCGGCGGAGAGGTCTCCGTAACAGCTACGTCACACGAAGCAGATCGTTGCCCTGAAAGACGAGCACAAGTGGGCGCCTCGGCTGGTGCCAATGTGGTGATATTCCGTCCTAAATGATGTTGTGATGCTCTTTGATGCTTGGTCATCGCATATGGGTTGTTGATGTACTGTCGTAAGTGTCGTTGGCATGTGAGATACTTCGGAAACCACCGGTTTCCTATCTACCTGTCAGCGAGTGCTCAATCGGCGTGAGGAATAATCGCAAGCACTCATTCACGAAAGAGAACAGGGGAAACAGGTAATGCAAAGAAAATCAGTTGCAGAAAGGTTTATGCGTGAGCATTTCCAACTGTAAATATGAACAGTAACCACATCTTCGTCATGTTGTTTGTACGCTATTGACTTGCAACTGTAGCGCTGCTCTCATCGCAGCCCCTTCATCCCTTGAGCTCTTCTCTGGCTCCTCGCTATTGTTCACCTGTTCACTCTTGCTTCGTGCTTTGTAGCCTGGCAGAGCTCGCATCTCGCTCGGTGACTTCGACATGCCAAAATGTGTAACAGATAGAAAAGAAGGAGTAGGCCATCCATTTAGATAAAACCAAAGTCAAGACCGGGCACCCTCTGTTGGAACCCGAGAAAGGGAAGTCCCCAACGCCACATGTGATGGATGTTAAGAGAAAATGCGTAGAAGAATAGGAAGAAAACGGGATGGATACTTTCAAGGAGAGACAAGGGAAGAATAGGATGGTAAGAAAAGAAAGATAGAAAACCAAATGGGGATAATGGTGAAAAGGGCTACCAGCCACGGTAATCAATCTGCCACCCGTCGCTGTGCCGCCGTAAAAGCATGCCATTCTCTCCTCGTCAAGTCGTCCAAGACACCCGATTCCTGTAATTGCTATTGTTGCCGTCCTTGCAGCAGTTGTTCGCACGCCTGCTGTGCCATCCTCGCGCTAGAGGCTTGTTGGTAACTGCTTAGCTCATCTCTTGTCGGCGGCCGCGAATTGTGAGCGCTGCTAGTCGCAACATTGGCCGCTCTCTCATCGCGATCTGCCACGTCTGTGAAGCCGGGACTTGAAATCCCGTCCTCATCAACATGCCTTGGGTCGTTGAATATCTGCTCAACAGTCTCATAGTACTGTTCGGAAGTAAGTTGGGGAAACCTTTCGTCGCTCCTCAACTCGTAGAAAGATTGCTCATGGGAGGGCTGTCGAGTTGTCGATACCATGTTCACCATGGTTTGCTGCTGGGGATGATTGTTGGGGAAAACATTATGGAGACCAAGACCAACCGATCCACCGGACCAGTCAGGCACCATGTTTTGGTGTGGTGTAGAGTAAGCAGCCCCTCCATGCAATGCCGAGCTGGTATGCTTTCGCTTCTCCAACTTCTTGCGCCGGCGGGTTCCCGTCTTTTCTTCTATTTTGGCATCCTCAAGGCCCAACTTGATAAGCATGGCCGAAATGTGTTGAGGCTTCCAGTCCCAGATCTTGCACCCACCCTTCTCCTTCATGTGAGCAATGAGGCGTTGGTACCTCTTCTCTTCGTCTTGAAAAAAGGCTTCTTTCAGACGTTGAATCTGAGACCGCTTGTCAGTGAACAATTCTCCTTTTCAAGACTCCTCACAAGCCTTTCGAAGCTTACCTCTTGTTCTGGCCACACACCAAATTTGGCTACAGCCCGCGATATCTTCATTTGCAGTGCCGCCTTTTCCCAATTGCCATGATGCCTCTCCGAGTACTTGGCCTTCATTTCTTCCCACATCCCCTTCCCCTTCTCAGAGATATGCTCCTTTCTGAGCTGGAACAAGAACTTATCGTCTTCCGGTGCGTCATCATGGAGGATTAGCTCCTCCTTATTACCCTCCCCTTCTTGATAAGCAGCCGATCCATCTGTGTACCCTGGACGCGGCGACTCCTTTGATGTTCGAGACGATGCTTTCCCAGGCTTGGAAGTCTTGCTCTTCTCCTGTCGCTTCCGCTTCGATGGAGCAATTGTTGGTGTATGGGAAGGGTATTGTGATAGGAACATGGTAGGATCGCCACGCAGTTCATCAAACCCAGCGATCCTTGGGGTTGTCTGTGGTCTGTACTGGGAATGGTTGGGATGGGTGAGTTGAGGCGCTTGACCGTTGAAGGCCATCCGATGGTCCATTGGCGATCCATGGATGTTCGGGTGAGGCTGTTGCGTTCTATACATGTATCCAGATGCGGGATCTACCTCCACGCCCGGAAAGTGAGGATATTCCGGAAAAGGGTGTTGCGATACCTCACCACCATGAGAGGTCGAGACACTATAGGAACCCAAGTAGGGGTCTGAAGGCCCCGGAAATTCGGGTTTGGGAGAAATTGCATGGTGGGGGTTGGAGGCCATGTATGCGGATGACTGATTGAATTGATGGGCTTCTGTTACTGATGGGAGACCGGACATTGAGGGGGAATCCTGACTTTCGTAGGGACTGTAATAAGTCCTTCCTGTGTGTGGAGGCGTCGGTACCGCATGGAGAGACATTGCTGATTGTGAGGTGTAATCCTCCGTCTTTGGGGACGGCATTTGGTTTAAAGGGGGGCTCTCGGAGCCAGAAATTGGTGTTAGAAGGGTTGTATCGACGGTGGCTGGGTAGTTGAATGAAGAAATGCCCGAAACCTGCCCAATTGGTAAGTGAGTGTAGCAGTCAGATGGGACCTTAAAACGTACACTGAATGGGCCCAAGTCTAACTCAGGGGGGGAGTAGGCAACAGTATGTGGGCCGCTCGGACAAGCGGTCGAACCGGGGAGCGTTAGACCGCGGACACGCAGTCGCTTCGGGTGATGTGTGCTCGGCGTCAGATACTGGGGACTGGTCATGTCGAGGTGGAACTGCAGGTGCTGAAAAGGTGTGCAGATGCTGGAGGTGGCAATGTAGTCGTCCTCCGAATCTGGATCAAAACGATCGTCTTCTAGACTGTCGATGAATGGAGAGGAGTGCTGTTCCTGTCCGTCTAGATCCATTTTGGAAATTTAGAATTTTTCTTGCTGGGAAACCTGGAACAAAATGCGGCGGGGCTCCTTGGAAGGTATATCCATCTTGTGCTGACCTGCTTGCCCAAACGAGAGAGAGGGGAGAGGAAGAGGTCCTTATAGGGTGATGCTTGGATCCTTGACCCGGCAGGAATGGAAAGGGAGGCGGAGGGGCATGCAAGGTGTGCGGCGAAAAAGGAATCAAACGTACCTTAATTCATGTTCTCAAATAAATACACAACAGCAGGACTGAGAAACGAAGAAGTAGAAGGTTTAAGACGGCAGGTCGTGGGGCAAGGATATGGTTTTCTAGTACTGGCGGACGAGCAACTCGTATGAGCAAGCCTCCTTTGCTCCTCGAAAGTGGCCCAGGATCAGGATAACGAGCGGCACGTACTGTGGTACTGGCTCGAGGACCATGCGGGGGTAAAAAAGTGGATAGCTATGATACATACCCTTTTGATGTGCATTAGGCTAACCGCCGTCGAGGAATAGGTGTGCGGAGCCTTGGGACTGAACAAAACTGTGTGCTTGCCAGGGTATGGGGGTGATGGGGGTATGAATCGGGAAGGGGGGGGGACAAAGCCATGCTGGGTCGGTCTAGAGTCGTTTGCCATGCGGGTCCGATTTGGCAGGCCCATTAACACATACAAGATGATTCCTAGACCCCCTTGATGTGGAATTCTCAACGAGGCCCTTTGTCATCTGGAGCTGGTCGTGACTGCGTATCAAACGAGAATTGTGTGTCATTTCTCTTGTTAGCTGGAAGAACTGGCAATCACGTACTGACATAGCAGTCAAGAACCAGGTGTGTGGCCAGCGTGGATGGGGAGAATAGTAAGCTGGCTGCTATGCAGGACTTATACAGAGCGGCCGCTTGATCGAGGCTGTCGAGGTTCAGCGCGAGCGGGAAATGTGTAGGTAGGTACAGAACGCAGCAGAGTTCTACCTGACCCCCTTGCACGTTTAGCAAAGCAAATTGGGCTCAACGGGCCTCCATGGGGAGCTTCTTGAGCTCCACTGTGTAATAATACAATGGTACCGGATGGCCTAGCTTGAGGCAGAACTGGTAGTAGGGCCGGGATCGTGGTGAACGAAGATGCGGTTTCTAGTTGTGTAACTTGAGGTGTAAACAGTTAGATTTGGACCCCGTCCACACTCCTCTGGGATGGAAGAGGTGTTCGGGACGGCAACGCTCAACATCAGCCAGGGGGGCGATGCCCCTGATCACTTGCCAAGGGTACGGAGCGCCATGTACTTCGCAGGGGTAAGCAGGGGGACAGGTGGTGGAGATAGCGTCCAGAGGTCGCTGCTGGCAGGGGTGAAGGACTTGCGAAATGTACGGTGCAGAACTAACTGTATCGCAGTACAAGCGGCCTGCTCGATGGTTCCTGGTCGGTGGTCACCAGATGAGCAGCGAGGACAAAAAGGTACATTGGGAGACAAATGATGTCCACACAAGGTACCCGAGTGTACAGCCCCGTTCCCTTGTGATGACCAGAATTCCTCAATGCGCGTCTCTGAAGAGCAAGCCTGTCGTACATGGTTGATGTAACCAACTGGCGGCTATTGTCCTCCCTTGGCTTTGACCTTAGCCCGATAGACGCCGCTTAAGATCCATCGCATCATAGTGTAGACAACAAGAAAGAAAAGGCGCAAGATCGGCAGAGAAGAAAAAAAGACGGGCGACCAGTCCAGCTCGTAACAGCCATGTCTACATCCGACAGGCTACCAACTGGAAGGTAATGCAACCTGTCCGCGCCTGAACGAAGTGCTTACCTTTAATGCCGGGCCGATCAACAACGATCAACAAGGAAGCCCCAGCGAGTTGTGGTGATGTGTACAGTTGAGCCTAGCGATCCGGTCAAGCTAGCATCGTTAGAATGAGATTCGATGTGCGGGTAGCGGCTAACTTGACCAACTCCAGGTGTATCGAAAGAGTCTACGGAATGTCAGGGCAATCAGCTTGAAAACAGATTTTGCGCTTTGCATGATGGCATTGAGCTTTGGCTCCCATAATGCTTGGATGAAGGCATGCTGCCGTATGATTTACTTGACAGTCCAGTTGGCCCGGCCGTGGCCGAGTCAGACTACCCAGCTGGCCGATGCCGCGGGCTATGGCTGCTAAAAGTGTTAATCACATTTGCGGCCGCTCTTTCGGCAGGCGTTCCAGGCTTTTTTTCGATTCAGAGCCAGAACAAAAGATATGGGTGGGAAAACCCAGAGATGAGATCGGACTTGGAGTGACGGCACTAAGGATAATGCGCCGGCGCGGGGGCGGTAAAGTGGGCTCCGGGGCAGGCCACCTGATGAGAATGGTTGCGCCGGACCCGGCCGAGTTTTGCGGATCCGAACAAGCCATCGAAAGCGGGACCCGTAGGGCCGCGACCCAGTAGTATCAGGCTGAGTAGCTCTGGTCCGGTTCCTCAATGGCTTCTTGTGTCTCTGGCGCCACACCCAGAGGTCTGGCATCATCTTGGGCGGCGTTCATCTGGAGGGGGAGCTGACGGAGCTGAGATCGAAACGTTGCGTTTGGCTGTGGCGTGGCTCTTGTTAGTGTTTGCTAGCGATGTCAGCTCAGGGCCTAGCTAACAAATATCAGGAAGGCAGGACTACCATTATCGTTCCATTTCGTTCCAGATCTCCCAGCTGCTGCGGGTCCGAATGAAGTGCGATGCGACGGAGAGACTTTTGTTTGGGTTTAGGCGAGTGATGTGTTCTTCCGCGGCTTTGTCGGGTTGCAATGAGGTGAAGTCGGGGGTCAAATCTTCAAGACAAGCGAGGAGTGCAACAGCATTCTGCATGGTGATGGTGGATTGACGGTCGGTGTCCTGCGTTGGTCGGCCCCCTTTCGCCCAATCAGGGCATTGCTGCCAAAAAGGGAAAATGAGGGCAAAATCGGGAGTGTTCGTCCCGCTTGGATGATGACTCTGGTTGAAGGATTAAAAGTAGGTAGAATGGCACCAAACTGGAATTTTAGAGCCTTGAACTTGTCCGAAAAGTGAGGGGACCTGGGTTGAAAGGCATACGAGTGGAGAGCTTGAGCGACCGACTGTGAAAGTGCAAGACTGATAGGAAGTGACTTGATGGCAGAAGCCCTCTCTTTGTGAGTGGGTCACAGCTTCTGTAGATGTCTGAACGTCACGGCCTGGAAAATTTTGACCTGCAAACACCCGTCTGAGCATTTTGTGGCAGGCGCGATCCAGAGCACAGGAAATTGCAGTGAGCTTCTTTCTTTTCAGGCCGGCGTGTGAATTCTCTGTGGGAAAATTAGCCCTGATGGGTCTAGCGTTCTCGGCGCCTGAAGTCATGATCAAAACAGGAAGGTTCATTCGGAAATCCATGTCGTTGATCTGGCGGGGAATATGTTGCGATTTCCGCAGAAAGCGCCCGCCCGCCCGCATTTCCAAGAAAACAGATTGAGTTGCCGGCGACATTGTGACAGCTGCGAGGTCTGCAGACTCAAAGAATGGTAGTTCAATATTTTCGTCATTTTCATCTCTGTCTTGTAGGTTCTCTGCCTCGACAACAGCCTCTTCTGAGTTTCTGGTTTTCTTTTTCATGAACATGCACACGAAACGGCCATCTGCAATGCCGAAGGATTCTTGCCTGCGAGATGCCCACCTTGCCCGCCACGGCCCACGGCAGTCTAAAAACAGCTGCCGGTGTGTCAGTGGACCCCATCCGAGGGCGGCGCAGGTGAGCGAGACCGGGACATTTGGGGGCTTGAATGACAATGGAATTCGTGCATTCTCTAGAGGACAAGTTTTATCAGTCACTATATCATTGAAATCTATCCATTCTCTTCCATTTTGTTTCGTCTTTTTTGCCAGATTTCGAGCATCGCGCAAACAGGAGCTCGCCTCGTCGTCGACCAAAAGCACAAGAATTGCAGGTGTAACTCTGGTGGAGAGACTTGGATTTCAATGTCCAATCGCAATTCTTGCCGTTCCCTCGGGAACGCTATTCCCCTTTGGGTGGTATCTGCCTGGACCAGGCTCCTTCCTGGTTAGCGTGTGTCTTGGCGGCCTGACAAGAAATGGCTCGTGCTCCTGTCTTGCTGTGCTCGTGCTGTGTCTGCGCAATTGTGTGCAGCCGCAGATCTGGGTGATTCTTCAACACTTTGTTGCGCGCTTCAAGCTCGCTTGCTTGCGAAAATGAGCAAAACATCGAGGCGCGACACACTTCCAACAATCCAACATCACTTCAGGATCCCTTTGGACGCGCTTAGTATCCACTTCCATTGGCCGGAAAAGCGAGATCATGCACCAGACTACACCAACGAGGACATTTCCCCGAACAGCATCATAACCAGCCGCGCGGGGAGATGGGCAAAGCACGCAATTGGCCCGGGTGGAGAGGGCCGTAAGTTGGGGTCTCAATGCCAGTGCATCTCGTACCGTACGAATCTTCACGATCCAATCTTCCCGCCCTCCCGCCCACCGTTGAATTTACCGACATTCTGTCTGCGCTGTCCGCGAGAAATTGAACTGGAAACGACCTGAAGCCAAAAGGCCCGAGAAAACGGCTCTGTACAACTGGCAGGCGAAATCATCGGAATAAACTGGATATGAGCCATGTAGCCATTCAGCAAATTGGCTTGCCCTTCACCTGCAAAAACGCAACGGGAGCCGGTTCCGCGACGCCGACAGTGTGTATTGGCACCATCGCGTCCTCTCAGTTCATCGCTAATCTTTCTCTCCCCGTTACCTTCCGCTGCTCCCCGTCTCGGAAGCGCGATTGTGAGGTGATCAACACCCCTCCTTCTTGTCCACCGGGCTTTGCCTATGAAGCCGGTCTGGAAAGCTGTCTTGATAGGTTGAATCCATCTCCTCAACCCTTGTCCTTGGCCTGGTTCATTTTATTCACCCAGTGAACCTCCATAGAGGTGAGCTTATCTGATGATATTCACAGATGCTTTTGGGTGGCGGCTGTGGATCGGGCGCCCCTACTCAGGTCCTCCTTGGCCAAGACCCAGATACCTCCAGGCG